GATGGGTTTCATTTTTGCTAAACGCTATTGGGAATTCAAAAAAAGGAATAAAAACAAATCGCTTAAAATACGCAAGTTTTATCATCTCATTCGCATCTGTTTCAGGCGGTAAGCTAGAATACAGAGAGTTTATGGTTAATCGAGCATGTGCACTCGAGATCTCCGAGATGTGGTGGGCGTGGCTGCGTACTTCAACATAACGCGAGGTTGTGCTTCTAGAGAGAAATAGTTTTTGACATAAATGCGGTCTTGCCTGTGTTCAGCAGAGAACAAGGTGACAGTTGCCCTTAACTGAATACCCCAGTATGCCATGTTCGATACACGCCTACTCAATCTCAGGGATAAGGAGTGTAAAGCGTAATGTAGCCCATACCGATGCAATTTCTTGGACCAGCACTGAATGGGATATATGCATAGGGATGTCTCTTCTGAATATTCTCGTCGCTGAATCTCTCGGGATCGAACACTTGCGGTTCTTTGTAAACCTGAAAAGATTGACCGTCTTTCTTTCAGAAGGGACCATAGGGTCCAGCACATTAGCGACAACGCCCTTTTATTCTGTTTTCGCAAAGTGCAATCTGACGTAAAGAGGCTCATCTACAAAAACAGTGCACATAGGGAGAACTCAATGTGGAAATTCTATTATATTCTTCTGGGCCAACGAGGTTTTTAGGTGGAACATTGTTATGGGCCTAACGTTTCGATAGGATCATTCCCCTCAGAGACCTAAACCTCAAAATTTATTTTGACTTCTGAGCCGTCTAACGCTTCGCGCACTTGGCGTTTCGCAACAGAACTTTAGATACAAGGTAGCTTTCACGGTTAAGAAGGCAAATTGGAAATCTTGAGCCTCGTATAGGCCTCTGAAGACGTCGACGTGGTCGCTTAAAGGCAGCGCCCGCTTCAATTTGATGAGTTATGGGGCTCAGACAGTGACAACAAGGTAGCAAGTAGTTCATTAGTGAAGAAAAATGCAAAAAAATCATCGGGCTGCCTTATATAGGATCCCACGCCGAGCTGAGGTCGTACGTGCTTTGGGCAGCGCCCGCGTTCATTGATGTTCCTACGCCCTCCTTAGATATCGTAGCTTTGTCGACAAGGGTGGAGGATGTACTAATTTCGCAGCTCAAAAATACGAGAGGATGCCGCCCCGCCCACCTGGCTGCCATAACTGCTTTGGCTTAGCCTTTGAAGGCTGAGCCCGCTTTCAAGAATAATGAGTTATGGAGCTCATATAATACGTGATCCAGTAGTGAAGAAAAGCAGAAAAAAAGCAGAAAAAAAATCATGGAAAATGCCCTATATAGAACCCTATGCTGGCCAGGTGGGCGGGGCGGCCGACTCTTCACTAGCGAACGGCGCTATCCTCTCGCCTTTTTGAGATGCAAAACTAGTACATACTGCATCCTCATAGGGAGGGCTATGATATCCAGAGAGGGCGCGGGAACATCAAATGAACGTGGGAGCTGCCTTTAAGGCGAAGAGAAGGCGCGGTCGCACGAGTTCTCACTTGTTGGTATCAGCTGTTTCCCTTATCACCTCACTCTCACCATTCGAAGTGGAGAGAGTTAGTAGCAGAACAACCGCACCATCAGGCAACCATTAGAAATGAAGTTGGGCGTAGTGGTCGCCAGATGGACGGGGTGGCCGACTCTTCGCGAGCGGGACCGCTATTCTCTCCCATTTTTGAGTGGCGAAACTAGTACGTCCACCATCCTCTTAGGGAGAGCTACGACATCCAAAGAAGACGTGGGAACAACAAATGAACGCGGGCGTCGCCTTGTTGTTGGCCTATAGCAAAGTTCCACCTCAAAACCCTCGCTGGCACAGAAGAGTATAGTGAAATCACGATATTTGCAACCAGGTATTTGAAGAGAGGGGGCTGTAGAGGCCCGCTACTTCAGTATAGAACCGCGATTTTCATGAGCTCTTCCAGCTCTTTAGTGCACGTTAAACGTCAGCAGGCGCGGGAACGGCCATTCTCCGCCTGCAAACATGGAACGGAACGCGATCTTAGCCTCTTGTTGTCAAAAATTGCAAAACCTCAGCGGCTAATTGCTCGCGAGGTTTTTACACCTCCAAAAAAACTTCTACACCCCCGTCCACGTTTCAGGACATTGTGGCAAGTAATGTGTTTCTTTGCTGCTTTCAGGAACGGTAACTAACCTGTGGATTAGCATGAATCATAGCAGGTGTGATCATTATCGAGCAACCCTTTGGTATTACTACTCCTTCTGCAATGATATTAAGTGATACAACATAATAACAATATACCAATCAAAAAATTCTCATAAATATTACCGAGATCTATGTCTTGCTCAAGCTTTCGTGTAAAGTTTGGTACTGGCGGGCGAAGTCTCAGAGATTCTTTGATGCATTGTTCAAGATATCTCATTGACTTTAGGTCTTCGTTTGTACAACTGCGATCTGACGAGCCTGTAAATCGACTCATGACTATGATAAATTTTATTCACTCAAAAATATAACGTACACTGGAACTCACCGAAGATATCATCCATTTCATCGTGAATCTTCTTCTGAATATCTGGATTACAAGATACACACCACAATGTCCAACCCATACTAGAGGCAGTAGTGTCATGGCCTGGAAAAGAGGACTGAACAGTTCGGAAGAGGTCGCCACTCACCGGTGGGGCTTACCTTCAAACATGAAAGTATCGACCTCTTCACGGATATCCTCGTAGGAGAGGTTTCCTTCAGCCTGCACCTCAAGCAACAAATCAAGGAATGCTTTCTTTCTCCCATCATCCTGCGCCTTGTCGACACCACGTTCTGCTATTCTTTCGTTGATCACCTGGAATTATCAGATTTTCTGGATATGGTCGTTACAGCAAGGCAAAGTCCCTGTTCCACCTACCCCTCCAGTTCAGGTTAGCATTTCCAACGGGTAGTCGATAGCAAATGGATAATGAGAGACATAGGGTAATTAATGACAGGTGATAGGTAACGCTAAGTTAAAGGCAAAACCAACGATCACGTCGTCATAGATGGTGGCAGGGTACAGCATCGTTGTGTCAAACCCATGGGGGTCGTACTTTTGCTCTGGGGAGGGAGGGGGGTCGTATTTGTAAGACAAATTTATTTTGATAGTTGATTTTTTCTTGTGGAAAAGGGGGTCGTATTAATTTTTTATATGCACTATATGCATTTTTACGACCATATACTCATTGCTCGTCGTCGGCGAAAAAGCCGTGGAGGGGGTGGGTCGTGCCTGGACGGGGGGAGTCGTACTCACACCGACATTTCGCACATCCCCATGCCTATACCCCGATGGTGGATTAGGGGTTCGCATATAGACGACAAGGTGCTGAGTAACTCGATAGTGAAGAAAAAAGCAGAAAAAACATGCCACTGCCCTAGATAGAACCCCATTACGATCCCAGTTTGTACGCTCCCAGTGAACTCCATTCACTACGCCCTCATCCGCACACCTGATTCACCGATAAGAACCGTATGAGTGTACAAGTGACGGTTTTCATGCTTTTTTCTGCAGCTTCATTCTTATTTGAAAGGCGGGTCTTGAAGGTGGATTGTGGAGGCGGAGTCACTGGAGGAAAGGAGGCGTCACTGAACCCATATTACACTATAGCGCCCCTCCGTTACAATTTTTTTGCAACGAAACCGGTACAAGGTTGTTCGCCGCAGACCACGCTACCTTCCCGACGCCATATTTTGAGCTTCTATACCTGATCGCGGACCGTGCCTTTACCTACAATGATGCCCTATTACGAGGGGACCTATGCCGTCCACATTTTGTTTATTGCAAACTATTCATTTAAATTTTTTCCCTTCCGGCATTGGACTTGTAATTAACGACAAACCCGGTAAATGCATATTGTGCAAAGTGGCGTTCACTGGTAAACCTACAGTCGCTAGGGGGATGTTTGATGTATTCTCGATACAGATATGAAGGAAAAAACAAAAAAAAATTAATTTTTCAGTATGGGCCCCCCATTTTTCCAGTATAGCCCCCACATAGCCTCAACACATTGCTCGAAAACTAAACTTCCACCACTCTCCGAAAAACATTTTTCCTCCTTTTCCCCAAAATGTGCGTTAATTACCTTCTCAGCTCTTCATCGTCAGAAAAACGCTCTCCACGATTATTTTTTTAGGTAGGGGAACAGAAGTGACCACTAATTCAGTTTCTTGATTTTCTTTTCATTTTTTTCATTCTCTTTTCTTGATTTTCTTTTCATTTTTTTCATTCATTCTTTTCATTTTCTTTTCATTTTTTTTCCATTTTTCTTGATTTTTTCTAATCAGTAATCATTTTCTCAACATTGTCGCATCAGTCATTCTGGTCTTCTTTCACCAAGGATAACTAGAATAGCATTGATGATAACTAAATGAAATTTGTATTTGTACCCTCAGGAGTGTCGTTACCTACTGAAATGACTTGGTTTTCTTCGTCAATGCTAGATTCTCCGAGACTTTGAACGGCCCTCGCAAGTGACTTTCCGAGGAAAACAGAGCAGAGAAAAGAAATCACATTGGGAACACCCTAGGGACTCCCTGGCAGCCGCATTGTATGAGTTCTCTGAGCCTGCTTCCTTTTGTTCCAGTGAAGCGATATCCTGCCGCCTCTGGCTCACTGATCGTTTCAACCAGTCACCAAATGATAAGGCCATCTAACAGTGGAGAAAAAATGAAAAGCACAATGTCAAAACTGAACTCGTGACAGAAAGTAGCCCTTGAGTCTTGGTGGGCGGGACAACGAGGGAGGCGTCAGAACTGCCACTTGTGAGGCTTGCAGCTCCTTCTCTACTCACTTTCTCTACACAAGAAGCCACGGAAGTGAGAGAAGAGAATGCGGAACAGATTACTCGGAAAGAGAAGGGAGCCCACCAACTAGACTGTCTCCACGCTGAACTAATGTTGAGCTGAGGACACTTTAAGGTAGGCGCCCTTCATTGGTTCACTAAGGCTGTCTTCAATCTTTACGGCAGCGTCAAGCAGCTGTCTGCTACCCTACTGTCGCGCCATGCTCTCCTCTTCCTGACGCTGGTAGACGCTGGAAGTGCTGGCAGACGCTAGATCGATATCTATACTTTCCCAGTCGCTGACGCTGCCGGACGCTCGAAACGCTAGTGGACGCGGTAGACGCTAGTGGACGCTGCGGCAAAATATGAAAACAGCCTAGGAGTACGGCACGAAAAGGAAAATGGCGAGAAGGAGAGCAGGCTGTTGTCACTTCATATCACTACTGTGATGAGTATATCCAGAGAAACATACAACGTTAGAAAGAACGGGAAAACGAGCCAAGGTTATTCTCCTACCTTTCTAGTGAAATGTAACGACTTTCAGATGGCGATCGGTACTCAAAGCCGTATGACGACGCATACCTGCAAATATTTATTGGTGAATTTGAAGACGGCCACTATTAAGAAAGCAGCATGCGTAGACATAGAAGATGCACGTTGCCGGCAGCACGGCGAAAACGCCCTAAATAGTTGCACGTGCGGCATTTGCAATAAGACCCACTAGATTCAAAGACAACCGCCGATCAAGTACTACCAGTAGTAGTGCTCAGTCACGCCAGTAGCCCATAAGTTTTCTAGTGGAGAAAGAAGCGAAAAAACCCTCAGGAACACTCTGAATAGAGGCACCCTAGCAGTGAGGCCGACGCCTTGGACGAGTTTGCCGGACGTTGGCAAGTTCAATGGACAGAAAACCACGTGCAACCCGATCCCCTGCAAGACCACAAGAAATCATCCTACGACGCTCCAGGCAACGCTGTGTAGACACGCAGTTCCGCTTGTAAGCCGTTGTCTTGCAGAGTGAAAGTAATCGTGGTTGCAATGGTTGCCGAACCAAGCAGCACATCTTTAGCTTCTTTATCTCATCGTTTCGGGTGATGAAAGTGGAATATGGTCTGCCAGGGCCGACGATGACTAAAAAGCACCAAGGATTCCGCGGGGCATTCGATCGCAGGGACTGTTTCTATTGTAAAGGGTTACGGTATGTCGAGTAAGCTGACGAGTGAGTACTTGGCCAGTTTTGCATGTCGTCGCACAACTGAGGCAAACCACTCGCTCCACTCAAACCGTATAGGGAATTAATGTCTTCATGTGTACATGTAGCAGTGAACCAAAGGATGGATTCGGGCTGGCACGACAGCCCGATGCTCCATAACGAGGGTGCAGAGCGACCAGTACAACCAGACCTATGCAAGATGCGCCACGCGTGCAATTTCGAATCGCTATGCGGAAATGTCAATGGAACCAGTGCCAACGAGTATTCGAATTCTTCCCCCTTCCCCTACTCTCCTCCGAGCCACCCTTCTGTCTGCACTGACCCTGAAAATCAATGGCCATGTATTCGGTGCGATTACAACTTCAAAGGGTGCAAGCAGGGCGCGAACGCCTCCTCCTGCTGCTATTCTATTGTCGCATAAGTTCTTTCCCCGACTTTTTGTAAATATCTCAATAGCGAACCAGCCTGAAGATTAGAGGTATGCACCATCACCATCCACTACTCGACGCCAACGCTCAGGCAGCTTGTCGGTTCCATCGTTAGAGGAGGACGGGAACTGGGATTCGAAGAAGGCCACAATGCCGCACAATCACCACTGTGACATGGTTTTGCACTGGTAATTGTGCGGCATTGTAGCCTGCAAATGCAGGGTGGGTGAGTGATAGCTAGTGTGGTGAAAGAGTATCATGTACGTCACGCACACGTGATGACGAAATACCAACCTCCATGCAAACGAAATACGGAAGGATCAAAAGGGGAAAAAACTTATGCAACAACCTAATAGAAAGATTATCATGACGGTGAGGTGGGCATACTGATCGGTGCGCATCACAGAGTGCTTCTTGCAGTCCATGCAGCTGTAGACTTGGTGCGCACAGCATGAGACCTTGCTCCTCGTAATCCCTTGGTAAGAACCAATGCCGAAATTCATTCACTGATGGCGTCAGTAGGATCAGATCTTAAAGAGCAGGAGGTATGAAGCTCACGCTGGTTGACCCATAATGCGCATCTTACAGGTTCTCCCGATTGCCTGCACCCTTTAGAAGTGTTGTCATCCCTTCCTTGCGTAACAACTCCCATCACAATTTGGTTTTAATCAGCTATTAGGTTTTATCGGATCTTCCTTCCTACTTTTCACCTTGGCTACTGGGATTGTATTGTTTGCTATCGATAATAAGGTAAGATAAAGCATGTTTAGGGCTTCTGCAACTAAGGCTTGATTTGATGTACGCCAGTGTCCATTGGAGATCTAATCTTTTCTAAGAATTGATGCTGTCTACCGCAAGGTCTAGGAAAAGTCGGAGACTCAAAAAGCGTCTCTGTGGCGGATAAAGGGTTGAAACCAGATTGCAATGGCGGCATCGACTTCAGATAAGAGCGAGACCTCACCTGGCTTAGAGCCATTTCGTTTTCCACGATTGTCTAGAGCCTCCTTTCCAAGGTGGACCTTTGGAAGAAGTCCATCTTTCTCTTTCTGCATTGTGCCGAGGGTGAGGTATAGCTGATGTCGTCGCAATTGGTCGGGGCGGTGTCAGGAGGCGTGCAACGGCAATGAGTCTTCCCTGTTTGGGTTTCCTAGCGATGATAAACGACTAATGGATTATTGAGAAAGGAGAAAACTAGTGGCAGGAAACGCCTGGGATGGGCTCATTCCATCCAACATGACACCCCCCCCCCCCCTCCGATTACTGCTGCTGACAATATCAGCTTCTACTTTTAAGTGTAAGTATTACCAATGATGGAAGACAGCGCTCATACTTCGCGAAGGCAGCGTTTCGGTCGCGCGTGGACACGATCGATGCAGTCAGAAGCATACGCATCGATCGCGTCGGACGCGCGACCGAAGCACGGCCGTCGCGAATTCTGAACGCTGCCGAAGACTTTCTGTTCTTCGATTACTGAGATGAAACAACCAACAGTTCATAAAGATACGTACCATATTGCATTAATCCACAACCAAGGCATGCGTTCATGTAGGAAACGCGAGTTCGTTGAGCCTTCGGACGGACTCTACGTAGGGGTGTTTATGGTTCTCTTGTGAGGAAATGTGGCAGCCCATAGCCGTCTCTGCAATTCAGTAAATTAGGGTGTATGTTCGAATGGATGCTAAAACGTTCTCCAAACTCAGTTCAGCTACAGAAAGACAAAACTCTAACATTGCGATGTGGGAATCCACTGTTATACCTCTCGTACTGAATATTTATATTCGGGGCATTTCTATTGAGAATGTACAGACAATGACTGAAGTAACAAATGAGCCACTCGGCGATTACAGAGGCTTGCCTGAAAGGGGTAA